ATGTGAAGTGCTATGCGTTAGGTAGCCGTTTACACGCAAAGCTCATTTAAAAGATTCCTTATGTGACAACTCTCTCATGCAACGCTAAGTATGCATAACTGAGCTATAACTCTTACCAACAGGTGCTACTTTGGGCTCGGTTGGCAATTAAAAAGCAGAGTTCTCTCTCGATGAACGAAAATCACGGTCAGCAAATCTCTCATCATGTCCGTTCTTTTATATGGCGTAGAAGCATGGACGATGCCTAACGGCTCTATTCTGTATTAGTGACTAATTCTTGTCGCAGTATGTTTTACGGGAAAAAATATGAAAAAGTTGAAATTTGTCAGTAGAAAATTGTTTGTCACCGATACAGAATGGGGCTATAACTACGGTGACCGGATTTCTGTTGACAAAAATCGGGACATTTCTGAACCATCGAAACCGAACATACAATTTCGTTTTTAGAATAAAAAAATGTAACATCTTTTTATACAGCTTTAGTTAAGACAAAAAAAGCGAAAAAAAAACTTGAAAAACTATCGTACAAATGTACTCACTCAATATATACGGTGGCGAGAATGCAAATAAGCAAAAGACATTTTTAGCAAGTTTTGGCTACTATAAAATAAAATAGAGTTTAATATCTTAAAATAAACCATGTAAATCTATATTTCAAACTCCGTAGAACATTTATAAAAAATCGACGAATTTTAGCAAATCAAAATTTTAATCAGGTTTTTAGAATTTTTTTGAGCATGCAGTTTTGTATGTCATTAAATTTAAGTATAAAAAGGTGCAAGTTCGTTGTAGCTTGGAATTACCGTTGATTTTTGGCAATTTGTCGTTCGCGCATTTTCTTTAATACAAGTATTTTCGATAATTTTTTTGTATGGAGAAAATAAGCAACACCTTCAACTAAAAAATTTACCAAAAATCAACGCAAAATTCTTGCTACTTAAAATTTGCACTTCCGTCATACTCAAATTTATTCGTTAGAAAACTACATACTCAGAATGAATCTAGGAAATCTAAGTAAAATTTTGATGAATCTTTATCGAATTTTGCTAATTTTTGATTCACACGGTTGTGTTTTGAATTTGTTGAGAGAATTAGTATTATCTATACTAATTATATAAAGAGAAGTCCCTTTTTTTTGTAACAGGTAATCTCGCGAACGATTTTCATGAAATTTTGTATACAAATAGCTTTCGGTAACCACCATGTTTTAGGCTAAAAAAATTTTACGTTTTTTCGGGTAGGTGGACCAGGGACCGGTCTATTCGAAAAAATCTTATTATAGTCCGATTTGCTTAAACTTTAGTACGCAAGTAGCCTTTTAGCATATATTAGCATATATGACCCATTTTTTCCGGGAAGTGGTCCAGGGACCGATCTATTCGAAAAAATCGAATTTACGGTCCGATTTGCTTAAAATTCGGTGCGCAGGTAGCTTTTTAGCATGTATTAGCATATGTGATAAATTTTTTCCGAGAAGTGTACCAGGGACCGATCTATTCCAAAAAATCGCATTTATGGTCCGATTTGCTTAAAATTCGGTACGTAAGTAGTTTTTTAGCATATATTAGGATATATGGTCCATTTTTTCCGAGAAGTGGACCAGGGACTGATCTATTCGAAAAAATCGTATTTACGGTCCGATTTGCTTAAAATTCGGTACGTAGGAAGCTTTTTGCCTGGATAAGCTTATAGATTTCTGTTTTCAAATTTTCATGTAATTTCGAATATAAATAGCTTTAAGTAACGACCATATCAAGGGGCGACTTCGTCACTAGGCAAGATTTTTTTGCGCCAGTCAGAAACAACGGATACTGTCAAAATATAAATATAATATTTAATATATCTCAACTAATATATATTTAGAAAGCCGTTTGTTAGTTTTCGCAAGGTTCGAGAGCGTCTGAACCGATTTTTTTGAAACTGCCACCTGCCGCACGTGTCCCAAGGATGGTTTTAGGCTGCAAAAAATATATATGTAAAGGGGGCGTGGCACTTCCCATACAAACCGAATTTCTCATGCTACATATCTCTGAAAGTGTGCATGGTAGAGTTTTGGAAATTGGTATGGAAATATACGAAATCAATCGCATACCCTTGGAGAAAAATTTTAGCTATTGTAAAAAGGGGTGTGACATCTCCCATACAAACCGAATTTTCATACTGCTTATCTCTGGAAATTTTTTGGTAGAGTTCTAGAGTTTTGTATGGAGATGTACGAAATAAATCACAAGTGTTCATGGTAGAGTTCTGGAACTTGGTAGGGAGATATACGAAATCAATCGCATTCTCATGAAGAAAGAGGGCAGCTGTTGGAAAGGGGGGCGTGGCACCTCCCATATAAATCGATTGTTTATACTGCATATCTCTGAAAGTATTCATGGTACAGTACTGGAACTTCGTATGGAGATATGTATATAGTTGAAATCAAGCCCATACTCATGGAGAAAATTTGGGCTATTTGAATAGGGGTGTGAGGCCTACAAACCTACCGACCTTTAGCTATCTTTGAATGAATTTTTTTATTCTTCTGTAGGTTTGTTTGTGAGTGAAATCCTCCTAAATGGTTATACGGATTTTAACGAAACTTTCTGTGTATTTGAGTGGGTCTCTGGATGGTTTCGTTTCACAATTTAATCCGACAGTTGGTGCTGTAGTTGAGTTATTACTAAAAATCTTATTTATGATCCGATTTGGCTAATGTTTTAAATATGTATGCATACTATTGCAAAAACGTGCCGCCAAGTGGTGCGGAAGTCGAGCTATTACTAAAAATAGCCAAGTGAGAAAAGGGGCCGTGAAGGTCAGATTAGATCGACCTGTTGCACCATTGAGTATATCGAACGCTCCTACGTTGCAATTGGCCCAATGGATGTGATTTTCCAATATTATTATGCGTTCAAACTTTTAAGGTATTTCGTCTGAAATAAGTATATGTATATTGCATTTCTGTAGAACAATGATTCGCACCCATTATGAAATTGCCACCTACTATACTGTAAAGCTTCTAGGACATTCACTGTAGAACCGGGTCATTGTTGCCACCAGGGAGTGAAGAGGAAAAAATTTATTTCGCTTTGCGAATAACCGTGCTATGAAATGCTGCACAACTGGAGAATTTCAAGAACTTCTTTATGGATATAACACTTTCCTTAGGTTATTTAAAGTGGCAAATGACCACCAAACCATAATCTTAGCAGACAAATGTGCCAATGAAAATCGTAAACGTGAATTGTTGGTGAAAATGTTGGACCAAAAAGTTTCAATAATATATATAAAAATTTTGGGCGGGACGAAGTTCGCCGGGTCTGCTAGTTTTCTATAATTCTAATAATTTGACTAAACTCAGGCTAGAATCGTTTCATTAAAAACAAAACAGAACTTAACAAATAATTACAAAAACCTTACAAAAAAATTTGACAATACTGATGACTGCAATACAGCTAGAGTACCAGTCTGGCAAAAAAACATAACCAAAGATCATAGAAAATAAGAATGCAGGCTATGCTTGTGGCTCCACTATAGTTTTATGTTCTTTGTGATTACAAAGTGCTGCCATGTTTGTACGAAAATTTGTTTTTGGGTCAGAGTACAAGGAGATTACTGAAAATCGGGACTTAATCGGCGGTACAAATATGAAAAAGCGGGGCACTTATGCGTCCGACTTAAAAAAAAAAAAAAAAAACTAAATAATTTTCCCAAAATCCGTACTGTCCCGCTAAACTCGGTACGAAGGGCCACCGTTGCTATAACAAAGAAGGCTTTGGGTGCTTTCGAGAGAACTATTCTACGCAAGATCCATGGCCCTGTTCGCGTGGGCGACACGTACCGAAGAAGAAGGAATGTCGAACTGTACGAGCTTTTCAACGACATTTCATTTCATTTTCATTTCATTTATTAATTATATAATTCACATGGACATAATTAAGCGCATAAAAATACAACGATTGCGCTGGCTTGGAATTGTTGTACGCATGGATGAAAAGATCCTTAGATCCGCTTACAATAGAAGGGCCAAGTGGAGGAGGACCTGTCCGCGCTTAGGATGAACAACTGGCGCGAATCCCCAAAGGAGAGGGGCAACTGGCGAAGCCTTTTGGTTCCGGTCTAAACCGACCAAACGGTTCAAAATGTGAAGAAGAATAAAATCTGTATGAGAGTAATATAAAAGAATGCGGTTAATAAGGAGTGAGCAAAATATTGAAAGGCCAAATACCGCACATAAAATCTGATTACTGCAAATGTTATGTAGAAACTTATAAAATTCACTTTATCCAATTGATGCTTTCTAAAATCCAGTATACTACTCTAAAATCCAATTGGCTCGTTCTTTTCTAACATCCAATTGCCCGTTTCTAAAATCCAACTGGGAATGGTGCAGTTGGTCTTTAAGGTAACAATTGTAAAGACCTTGAAAACATACAAATATTGAAGAAATATACATCACAAAATCCTCCTTTCAACGCAGTTGTGCAATTTAATATAAAATCTACACATAACACTTTTTTATTATGATACGCAAAATTTTACTTTGTTTATTTATATGAATGCAAAAGGTCACATACTTGTTAGCTTGTCTAGAGTTTTGTGCGTAATTACAATACATATTTATCAATGATAAAAGTTTAAATTCAAATATAAATACAATTAAATGCATTAGCAACTAAAACTGTTTTCTCCAACAATACACCGTATGTATATCTGTATGTAGCATGTCTAAAAATTGTCGCGTATAGTTAACAGTACATTTTTTCCTTTTCATTAACCGCTTAACCATATAAAAATAGTGCTTTTGTTATTTAATAACAACTTCATACTCTTAGTTACATTTCATGGTTTAATAAAAATAAAATCAGCTAATGATCAGTCATAAACAAAATTGGAATATTCAAAATCCAAAAAAATATATATATCTTTATATGTATATACGTAGTTACATAATGTGCTGTGTATGATAAAAGTATTTCAATCATTAGTTTATCGCAAGATGTGGCATTTTTTTAAATTTAAATAGTTTCTTTTTTGTATTGTTGCTGTTGTCTTTTGGTTTTTACTTATGGCGCACCGCGCGTTTAAACAGCCTTGTACACTCTGACGGATTTTATGTCGTTTATGGTGAGAGTCTGTAAGAAAGAAAATAAAATGTGTGTTTGTGTAAACAGAAATTATGTGATTTTCAACACTTACGGTCACCAATTCGGAGTCGGTGAACTCACGAATGATGGTTGAGGGTTTGTCACCCTTCTGTTCCTGCAACAATTTATTGCCATCCAAGGTGATGACGCTCTTCACTTTGCGACCATCAAGTGTCTCTTCATCGAATTCCTCACCCAGTTTGAAGCTGATCGAGGAGGTTTTGAACGTTGAGGTGGTGGTGAATGTGTAGGTATCACCATCCTTCTTCAGTTCAACGGTGGGGCTAACACTGTTGCCCATTTTACGCAACACCATGCCGACACCTGTGTAATCAACAAAGGAAGTGAAACATAAATTAGATACCATAACTATGTATATATGTCTGGATGTACTTAATATACATTTACATATGTATGTAAATATACAAATCGCATTGATATATGTATGTATGTATGTATGTATGTATTTTTGTACATTTCGAGGTAGAGGTGTTATGATATTAAAGTAGCCCGTTGTGGTTGCGGTAAAGCGAATTTAGATCAATATGCCTTCCTAAGTATATGCACGTACATATAGCTGTATGCATGTACATACGTAAAAGGTGTTAATTGATATCAAAGGTTTGAAGAAAATATAGAGAGTTGCCAACTGTTTGAAAATTGCAGTTTAAGGTAATTGATAAAATGAAGTAAATATTTTATTCTGGGCATGAATCACGTAACTTTGAAACGATTGTCGTTCAAACGATACTGACAAAACGATGTCGTCAAAACACTGATTCATGCATTTATTTTGCTGTTACGTGCTACTGTCACTTACGTACGTAAAGCAAAACTGGAATTGAGTGGACGATATCGCACAAAAGATCCAACAATTTTTGGTTTTCATGAAGAAGGAAAATCTCAGCACGATATCGTCCAGACGATTGTCGTCATACGTGATTCATGCCCTGTCTTTTAAAAGAAAGAGGTTTAAGAAGACTTAAAGCCGAAAATATTTTTGTGGAGACTGCCACATTTTTAAACATTTTATTTTAATTCAATATGGGTATCAAACCGAAGAGATATAGGAAAGTTTACTGCCGAAAACGTTTCCGAGGAGGGCTGCCGCCTGTTTGAACAATTTTATTTAAATCAATTTATAAAATAAATGAAATATTTGTATTTCGGGTATCAAACAACACAAAAATACTTTTAAGGCGCAGTGAAGCGCGCCAAGTATTTGCTAGTATAATAATAAAATTCACCCAAAATTCGTTTCGTGAAAGTTCAAAACGGCCAAGCTCAATTAGAAGTAATCAGAACCAATCAACACAATGTATTAATCTTTCTTACAACAGGGAGGTTTAATGAATATTATAAGAGGTATAATATGTACTACATATCCATATGTGTGTATGTATGTAGCATTCACTGCAAATGTACATGTACATATATGCATACAAATGTACATTAAATTATTACGTACATACATATGTACGTATGTATGTACATATGTACATATACGTAAATGCACATATAAAAAAATTATTGCATAAAATGAGAAACAATTTAGTGCTAAGTGGCGCGGAATGCTGAATTAAATTGAAGTTGTATGGGGAAGTACTTGAATGCATGATGGCATTTTTTACATGCACACATTATACATACATATGTATTTGTGCAGCGAGGAAAATTGTGGCATTTGCCACAACGTTTATAAAAATTTGGGATATTCTAAGAGTCCCTTCAACAACACATATTGTGTAGAATTAACGTAGGCTTATTTCTAGATTTTTGATTTCACGAAAGCTTTGACGATGATAAAAATATTACGTTCACAACATTTTAATACATGTAGTTCAAGGTGCTATATGCAATTAATAAGATAAAATCCAAAAAAAATTAGGGAAATAAAAATTAAAACAAACGAAATCAAATAACAAAAATTAATATAAAATAATGCAATGGGAAAAAAATTAAATATAGGGACATTCCTTTGTGGCTGGTGGGACATTTTACTCCAGAGAGTGATCAATTGTGAATGTCTAGCTATGTCGTCGGACCTTATACAACAGCTAAAGATATTTTTTAACATAGAACGATAACTAATGTATAAAATTGCTTTAACAAAAATGCCAAACGATTTCTTAGTTTTTTGTATCTATCTTTTGAATTAATGTGACTGGTGGGAACTACTATATTTTACTCTCTCACTCAAAGATGAATTTTCACCAAAACACTTGATCTTCACGAACGATGTTTTTTCGTTGTAAAATATGAATTATACGCTTTCGTTTTCAATAAAAATGAGGTTTATGTAATCTTTATAGAGATATTAAAAAATATTTAAAGTTGTGACTGGTGGGACATCTCCTTGTGACTGGTTCAAAGTAATTAGGCATGAAATAAAAGTTTCCATAAACAAAAATTACAACTTCTTTTAATTTTTTTAATATTTTCCAACTAAATATTAACAAACAACAAAATAAAAATAAACTAATAAAATCAATTAACACATTTGAATAAAACTAAACAAAATAAAATAAAGGAAAAATAAATAAATGGAAATATAATGAAACAAAAAAATTAAGAAACAACAAATGAACTTTAATAACATAACGAAATCGACTAGATTTAGTTACACATACATACTTATTTACTATTAAAATGAATGTAATTTTTAATATTAAGACCAAAGACAAAATTTAATCGATATTTTCGGGAGTCATGATTTTCATTTCGAGGATCTTTATTTTGGATCATTGGAAGTTGTTTTTTTATGACTTCTTATTTTATCACTTATATTTGGATCTTATTTGTGGAATATTTTTATAAAAATAATCTTATCAGACTGCCGCTGTGGTCTAGTGGTTAGCAGTGCACGCTACCATCTCGCAGGGTCTGGTTCCAAGCACCCGTAATCAAATAGAAAATAAATCAAAATTCTAATAGCCGTCGCCCCCCTCGGCAGACAATGGTAAACCTCCACGTTTATTTTTGCCATGAAAAACAGCTACTCATACAAATACAATCGCCGTTCGGAGTCGGCGTAAAACTGTGGATCCCTCCCCTTTGTGTGACAACATCAAGGCGCACGACACGACAAACCGGAGGGGAAGCTCGGCTAAACACCAACAACCAATCCATTATTATTAATAATGTAATATTATTATTAATAATCCCTAATCGGTATTATGGAAATTAAAATTTTTCGACCATACTTGTGTTCTTTTGAGCTAGTCTGAAGTCTGAAAATATCGGCTATAATAATCCTGTTCCAGGTACTCCAGCATTTCTCAGTTTTACAAAAATTAGAGGAAGAACTGTTTCACCATTAATAAATCTAATGTAAGGTGGCGTACGGGGACAGTTTCCTGTAAAATACTGCAAATCCTGAAGTACTTGGAACAAGCTTAATGTAATCAAAATTAAAATCCAAATAACAAATATTATAAAATTACGATTATGAGCAAATAAATAAATATAAAAATAAAATAAATGTTTTCATCTAAAGAATAAATATTATGAAATAGCCATAAAATATGACTGAAATACGCAGTTTTAACGATTAAAAGATTAAATTTTTTATATACTAATGTACATATGTACGTACACGTGCAATATTTAAGACAGAGACCGAGAATGAAAAGTATGATCGAAACTAATTGTAAAACCGAAAAAAACGAATTATACAGAACAAAAGTCTATGGAACTTTCCCTCGAATAACAATTTGGGAAGCAAAGTCTCAGGAAATTTCTGACAGAGGAGGAAACGGGAACAAATCTTCTCTAAACTATTCGCGATTAATGGATGCAAGGACAAAATTTTTAACATAGCGTTCATTAGTTTGAAATGTTTAAATATTAAAATTTATCGAAATAGAATTTGAAGATAATTATGCAAATAACATAATTCATCGAAAGACTTAAGACACGAACTTTTCTTGCACAGAATGTTCCCCAGACGTTTGTTCTTATTTGATCGTCCTTGAAAACGTGCTGGATAGTTTCGTTCTCAATGGAAACGTTACCGAAAGTTTCGTTCTCATTCTGTTCTTCTTGCGAACGTTGGCAAGAGTTTTGTTCTTTACGGAAATGTTCCCGAACCTTTTGTTCTCATTTTGTTCCCGTTAAAACTACTCTCAATACTCTTTTTCCCATTTTGTTCTTTTGTGGGAGCGTTCTTGACATTACATTTTGTTCTCATGAAGAAAAAACTAAAACTGGAACGCGCTCTCGGTCACTGATTTAAATGCAGTTGAAGGAGAAGGTATCAGCTACTCGATTG